CAAATAACATGCCTTTAATGCATTACAGGGCAGCTGGAGATACTGATCCCATCAACACATAAAGTGGCTAGAGCCCTTGGGCTAGACATCTCGGGCTGCAAGCAGCTATGTCTGTCTCACCGTTACCATTTTATGTGTATGCCATGATGGGAAAAAGTTTGGGAAGTACTTTACTAGATTATGAGCCCCTTGCCAGCAGGGACCATGCCTTATTCATGTTTCATGTCCCCAGCTTCCAGCAGTACAATCTATAGCTAGATTTCACATACTTGTTGTTGAAAAGCACAGTACTACTGATAGTAGCAAAAACATTTGTGAGGTTAAGACATTATTCTTTGGGTAACCCCAATCCTTTTCCTGTATCTGACAAACTGGAGAAGTGGTTTCTATGTTTTCAGAGCTCAAGGGTTCCTTGGATGGGATTCAGAGGCTGCCTTGGGGGAAAGGAGAAACCATATGAGAGGCTCTAATTATGCTCCCCAACTTTCCACCACAACTCTCTTTACAGAGCAGCTCCACTTTTATCCATTTTAGGTATTAGACTTCAAATAAGATTTTACATAAGGTAAGGTTCGATTTTTAAAAGGGCAAGGGGAGGGACAGCCAAGTGGCGTATTGGTTAAGAACTGGCTAGGGACGCCAGAGGGCCCCGGTTCGGATCCCACATGAGGGCCAGTGACACTGCCCTCTACAGCTAAGATGGTAAACAACAGCTCAACCGGGAGCTGGGCTGCCGTGAGTCGCCAGCAACGGCAGCAGCCCCTGCTGCAGTGGGCTGCCATAAGCTACCGTGAGTGGCTGGCAGCGGGCATGAGCAGCCGGCAGTCGGTGTGAGCTGCTGGCAGCCGGTGTGAGCTGCCAAGAGCCACTGTGAGCAGCCGTCCAGAGGCCGGCGACTGATTTGCCTCATCCAGGGAAGAGTGCAATGATAATACCAACATGGGCCAGTGAAGCAATGTCCTCCACAACTAGACTGAAGAACAAAAGGACAGCAACTTGTCTGTTTCCCTTCCCGATTCCCCAACAAAATCTTAAAAAAAAAGGGGGGCGGGGGGAGGAGAGGACAAAAACCACTGCAACAGAGAGCAAATGATCTACTGTATCCTAGGTCATGCTGAAATTTAAACATTTGTCCTGGACACTCTTGTGTAAAACCACAAAAAGGAAGGGTTATGCCAGGCTCTCACCAGTAATGGGAGAGCTAAAAGGTACCATGAAATCTGCCACACCTAGTCATCTCACCTTTCTTTAGGAATATGGTGATAATGGTGGATTCCTGAAATCTCAGCCATTTCCTTTCTGGTCCATATGGTGCCCAGCAGATCCTTTGCGGAAGCCCATGACAAAGCTCTAACACATTCATGGAATCCCTACCCCAGTTCTTTCCCAGACTACAAATACAAAACCTTCCAACGTTTGTGGAACTCTTTCCAAATGCTTCCCATGTCTTTTCATTATCAAAAAGCTTTATCAGGGCTGGCCGAGTGGCGCGATGGTTAAGAACTGGCTTGGGACGCCAGAGGGCCCCGGTTTGGATCCCACATATGAGGGCCAGTGACACTGCCCTCTACAGCTAAGATGGTGAACAACAGCTCGACCTGGAACTGGGCTGCCGTGGGCTGCCGTAAGCTACCGTGAGTGGCCGGCAACCAGTGTGAGCAGCCAGCAGCTGGCGTGAGCTGCCATCCAATGGCTGGCGACTGATCTGCCTCACTCAGGAAGAGCACAATGATCACAATACCAACATAGGCCAGTGAAGTGACATCCTCCACAACTAGACTGAAGAACAAAAGGACAGCAACTTATCTGTTCCCCTTTCCCAATTCTCCAATGCTGTTCCCTCCCCCAATTCCCCAATAAAATCTTTAAAAAAAAAAAAAAAGGTAGACAGAATTACACAGACAGAATTACTCTGGACCTTAATACAGTACATTTTGAAACATATTCAGAGGCAGACATTTAAAGGAGATATGACTAAATGAAAAGAGTGGCCCAGGAAATAGAAGATGCTGAAATGCTCATTGAGACCTAAAATAATGAGGCCCAGGAATCTAAATCATGACCTAGGTCAATCAGGGTGTGTCTTTGTGGAAGAGTCAACCATTATCTCAGAGTCATGCTGACTGTTTTAAACATGAACACTATTCTTGAGCCCCCACATTCTCACCCTACATCCAAGCTGATGGTTCAGGGCCCCTGCCTTGCTCCAGCTTCACCTCCCACTCAGGCAGCAGGAGCTGCCTCTGTGAGGCTGATGCTGAAAAAAGATTTCACTGCTTATAAGCCTACGACCAGCACAGAAAGTCATGGTAACAATCATCCCGTTACACAGGCGCCTCAGGCTGCAAGGTGTTCTTTTGTAAACCTTTAAGGTCGCTCTGAGTGCTCATATTATTACTATTGCAATGATGATGATCGACAGCAGCTAACATTGACTTGGGGCTTACTATGTGCTTTGTACAATACTAGTGCTTTATGTGTATTACCTCATTTGATTCTCATGCCAATACTATGAAGTAGGTGCTATCATTATCATACCCTTTACAGATGAGGAAAATGAAGCTAAAAGAGGACAAGTAATTTCACCAAACTCATACAACTAGGAATAGCAAGGCAGGATTTGAACCCAATTTTGTCTGACTCCAAGGTCCACACTCTTAATTACTATATCATTTTGCCTCTAGATTCACCTGCAACAAAAACAAAGAGAAGAGCTCAACACAGTGATGTGCTCTGAGTCTCGGGCCTCTTGGCATCCATTTCTAAAAGTATATGGGGAAGCAGATTCCAAAATTTCCCTGTTATTTACTCAGCGTTAACAAACCTGGTTTTAAAGAAGTTCCTTCTTCTAACCAACAAATCCCACCCACTGTCCTCTGAATCCATTTCCCCTTATTATGACTCCAGTCGAAGAGAGCAGAGATGAACACACACAATATGACTCTTTGTGCACTTTAGACTTCACTTATACTCTTTCCAGCCTGCTGTCTGCCTTCCTTTATACTTGCATTCAATTTAATAATAGCAGCTACCATTCACTGGCACCAATTCTGTACCAGGCACGACATATATATATTGGCTTCCTCCCCCGTAATCTCCAGGATCCCCATTTGCAGACAACACTCTGAAGGACTTACAGCTAATGGACAGACCCCTTTGCCCACAAAGGGGAAGCAGAAGAACTGGGATTTCAGATAAATAATGACTGTGTTCTAGTAACAGTTTTATTTTTGGATCTTAGTTTCCATTATCCATGCCTGTTTTGTGCCTCTTAAGATGGTGGACAGACCAAGACTTCTTCATTACAAAGGCTAACGGCCTTTGCACACTCGCTCAGCTATCTCCAGGCATGCTCCCTGACAGTCAAGTCATCGTTTCTCCCTCCTTAAACTGTAGTCCGAAAACTTGAGTTCTATCCATTCACATCCTGTATGCATCATGAGTGCCTACTGTGTGCACAGGCATTGTGAGAGACAGGCGATGAGCTCAATTCCTGCATTCAAAAAGCTTAGTCTCTTTAGAAAAGCAAGACATGCACATAAAAATTTTGTCTATGCAAAGTAATAATTCTATGCTGGGAGGCAAGGGGCATGTGAACCTGTAATACATGGGGCCCTTTCCAGCTGAATCCAAGGTCAACGATTCATTCTGGGAAAAGGTGAGCTCAATGGATCAGTATCTTTCTTAGAATGAGCTTTTACAGACATGTTATTCAAACTCAGGTCTAATGTGCAATGACCAATTCACTACCCCACTCCAGTCATAAGAAGTGGAGACACCCCAACAAGAAGCTCAGGACAAAATGGCAGCAAATTAGGGGTAGGAAAGGAAGTATGCAGAGACTAGATTCTGTCCTGTTGCACTGACCCAAGCATTCAGACTCCTGCAGCAGATCTCCTACCAATAAAACTTTCATGCCATATACCAGGGGTGACCCAATCCAACAGCAGCAGAGACAGGTTTTAAGTTACACTTCTCCCTCACCCAGATGACCTCACTATTTCTTCTCACTCCTGACCACATACCACACTCCTGCTGGCCAGGCCAGAGGGAGACTGGCAGTAATACAACCCAGAAAGAAGGGAACTCCCCCAAAAGAGGAGCTACCACTTAGTTAATCAAGCGGCCCGTTTTAACAGGGAACTCCCCCTCCCCCTCCCTTCCGCAAACACTGGTCTAAGCAATGGCTCCATTTTCTGTTCCGGGAATCTTGGTACTTCCTAAAGAAAGAGAGCGGATTGGAAGACACAAAACTCAGAGCCCGCGACAAGATGCTCCCTCGTCCTGTGAGACCGCCCCCGCTTCGCCTGGGGGAGAAAGGCACCACCTCTCTTCTCCAGGCAAAATCAAATCCCCCTCCCCCTTCTGCCTCCTCTCCTCCCGCTCCCCACCTGCTGCCCTCTTCCCAACGTGCGGTTCTCCAGACCCGAAAGAGCAACGTCTACCAGACGTTGGGTACCCTGGGGTGCCCCGCTAGCCTGACCTTCCGGCTACTCCCTAAACCCCCTACTCACCCCTACCCCATGTTAGGGGGAGGAGGTGTCACCACAGCAAGGCTTCTCTCTGGTCTATTAGGAAGGTGGAGAGGAAGATGGGGTAAGGAAAAAGCAGCATTCTCTAGCCCTTCAACAGGAAAAGGGTACAAGCAGCCATCACCGCCCCCGCATCACCTCTCCCTGGACTGCTTTCCTCCCCCCTTAACCCCGACCCCTCAAAATCCCACCTTCTGCAGGCGAAGGGAACCGAACTGCAGCCCAGGTCGCCCCCTTGTGCGAGGCGGAGGACAAATCCGTGTGCGCCCCCCACCCCCACCCCAGCTCCGCGTCCTTCAAATGCGGGGGCAGGCGTGAGGCTGGCCCGGCGCCCCTCTCCAAGCTCCCGGGTGGGAAGGACCACACCGCCCCATGCCTGGCAGTGCCGGACAGGGGGGCTCTATCTCCTCAGCCCCCACCCCGAGCCTCTCCTCAATCGGGATCCGCCTTCCTTCCCCAACCCCTCACCTGTTCCTGTTCTCAAGCTTCGCCGCTGTGGCCGCCGCCTCCGCCCCCGCAGGTTCCGCTTGGCTCTCGCTCCGCTCCCTCCGGCTCCCCCAGCCGATTTCGGCGCGGCTGCTCCCCTGGCCCCGCTCCCTGACTCCCTCCTTCCTTCCCTCTACCTAGCACCGGAAGCCGCGACGGCGACAGTAGCTGTGCGGCGCACCCCCACCCCCAGACTGGGATACTTCCCACCTCCCCGATCGCGCGAGAGCTGCGCGGCAGGGAGCAGCAGTTCTCGCGAGATCTATCACCATGGTAGCGGCTGCAGCAGAGGCAGCCGGGCGCTAGAGCTGAACCCCGGGCGGGGTCCGATGTGGGGGCTGGAGACAGCGGGCGGCGGAGGCGAGAGCCAGTGACTAGGGGTGAAGCAGCGGGGACCAAGGTGACAATACCAAGCTCCAGGGCCATACTAGAATTTAAGGGCTGGGGCCACGTGCTGGCCACACTGGAAACGGGTTGGACTGAGAGGCCGGGAGAGGGGTGGGGGGAGCGTGCTCCTTGGGCAAATCCAGATCCTCCAGAGCTCATCTTTATTTCTTAACCAAAGCCAGCAGCATCCCCGGGAGCCCTCCTACACCAGTGTTGCTGCTTACCACTCCTAATTTAAGACTAGGTTACTCAGGGGTCTGAATCAAGAGATCCTTTCCTGGGCCAGCAGAGTGGCGGGGTGGTTAAGAGCTGGCTTGGGACGCAGAGGACCCCGGTTCGGGTCCCACATATGAGGGCCAGTGACACTGCCCTCCACAGCTAAGATGCTGAACAGCAGCTCAACCTGGAGCTGGGCTGCTGTGAGTCGCTGGCCATGGCTAGGCTGCAGCCACTGCTGCAGTGGGTTGCCATGGGCTACCATGTGTAGCCACCAACCAGCGTGAGTGGCCAGCAGCCCCCGTCCAGAAGCTGGCGACTGATCTGCCTCGCCTGGGAAGAGCACAATGATGGTGCCAACTTGGGCCAGTGAAGCAACGTCCTCCACAACTAGACTGAAAAACAAAAGGACAGCAACTTGTCTGTTCCCCTTCCCCCAATTCCCCAGCGCTGTTCCCATCCCCCCAATTCCCAATAAAAATATTTTTTTAATTAAAAAATAAAATAAAATAAAGAGATCCTTTCCTGTAGGGAAGAGAAGGGAGAGTGATGAATTTAAGAGACTGAAGGAAACTGAACTCTGGACCAATTAGGAGATTGGAACATGAAAGACAAATGATTGAAGCCTCATATTCAGAGGTGTAGTTTGGAGAAGTGTACCTAGATGATTATGAATTTTAGTATCCCAAGGATAGTGAGAGACTTTGCACCCATGTTTCTCTATTCCTGCCCACTCCCACTTCCCTCACACTCATTTCTGCACCTGGTCTAGACATGCAAAGCTGCCTTAGAACAGTATGGCTGTGATAGAAGAAGGACACTAGTAATGCTAAGAACAGAAGAAGATTCTTTAAGTGCCCTCTCTCTCCATTTACATCAGTATAAGGGACTTCCCTAAGGCCTCAACCAAAATTGTTGCTTTTCTGGATTTTTTGGGCTTCTTTCTAGTCTCCTTCCAAGAAAAACTAGGCTGATAGATAGGCACACTATGTCTACCCCTTATCGCCATCGATCCTGGTGTATGCATTCACCAGTCTCTAACCTCTTATCCCGGTCTGTTTCCTGTCGTATTTTAACTAGGAAAATAACATGACCCTAGAATGTGAAGCCAAGAGGACCCTAATTTATGGTGAGGAATGAGATGGATAACAAGGAGCATGTTTATAACAGTAGAATTTGTCTCAGTCTGTTGCCATTAAGGGCCTTTGCCCTGCTAAGCTCTGTGTTTTAAATGGCAGAAGACTCCTCCAGACTCCTAGAGTGGGTCCTGTGATACCGCCACATGATTACTTTATTCTTTCCATTTCTTTTCCTAGAAGTTTCTAGGAATACCCCACCAGGTTATGCCCCCACACTGATCATGAAAATTAAACTTTACTACCCAGTACCCAACCAACCACATCAACATGCCTTGAGCAACTCTGTCAGTGCTCCAGCCCAAGACTTCAGGTCCTCTAGTGGTTGGGATCAGGTGTGACCAAAGGATGGAAATGGTTTCAGCCTAATATGGTTAGCAGCAAGTACCATAACATTTGAGTCAGAAATGATGAATGGAACTGGAGACTCTCCCATCCCTTCTGTCCTTCACCCCTGTAGAGTCTTGAGAGGAACGTATCTGTTGCAGCATCACTGGGTGCTTCCCATGGAACAAATAGGAGCAAAGACAGGAGGGATGCTGTCCAACTGGCAATTATCCAGCCACTGCCACTCCCTAGCTTCCCAACCACTTGGCTAAGGGAGAAGAGCTCATCTGGAACTGAAGGAGGCAAAGAGTCCTGACTTACACTGCATCTGTCTTTCTCCCTCCCTCTGGCATCCAGTAGAGCTAAGTAAAAGCTGAAATTGTAGCCACCCTGCTTTGTGGGTTGCACACTCCCACTCCCGCCACTGACCCTAGGCCTGGGCCTGGGCCTGAGCCCAGCTCTTGTGCCTGGAGCAGGGGTGGCGGGGGGGGGGGGGTACCTAGAATCAACATTGTAAAAGATCCCAGTAAATTTAAAATATCCATGCTGTTTAATTCTCTTTAAAGGAACAGANGGGGGGGGGGGGGGGGGGGGGGGTGTTGGCCTTGCTGACAAAATCCATTTGGAATTTCTCAAGGTTGTGGTTTGGGGCTTAAGTTTGCCACAGAGTGTGTCTGACGAAAGATGAGAGCTAGAAAGTGAGAAGGAGCCAAAGGGAGTACAGAGGAAGGAAACAGGAAAAAGCTGAAATAGTCTCCACTGGAGATTCTCCTTGCTCTTCCTGAGTGTGTGAGATTTCTGGATATTCTTTAGTGTTATTCTCTCTCATATCCTATGTCCATTCTAGCTGCCTTCCTCTCTCCCACACTAGACTCAGTCAGTACCTGAAATAAGGATGAGATACCTTCCTGCCTCTATCAAATTTCAAAACCCAGAATTCTCAATGCTAAAGTGGATATTTGGGACATAAAATTTAGCCACAAAATACTGCCCTGACACAACATTCCTCAAAATGTCCTCTCCACCCTGGTGCTACCATCATTTCACCTGATTTTGAGAGTAACTGGGGGAGCAGATATACCTATTGCCTAAAGGCATAGAGAGAACTACATAGTTCTAGATTCCCTGCCCAACGAGATGACCTGTTAGAGTCAGCATCTTGCAACCCCATAAACAGTCACTTGTAAAGTCCTAAATGTGTGGTGCATATCCCTTTTCTAACTGAAAGATAATGGTTTGGTTTCAAAGATATAACTAAAGAAATTATTTTCTTTAGTTATGGTCATCTCCTAAAAGATAAAGGAATTATTTCACTAAGATTAAATGCAGAAGAGCCCTGAATAAGGAAGGACAAAATACATATGCAGATAATTCAGTGGGAGAACCTGCTGGTTTTGCAGGTTTCCAGAGGGGAGGGAAAAAACTCCCCTTTTGGGCATAGGAATCCCTTTTATATGTTTCCCATTAGTCTTGTATCTACCTAGCAAGTTCTCTGATTTAGAGCCAGAGAGAAAAGCACCTGCTCTTTTGGGTCCAGGTTCAATGTTGAGATATCTTCAGGACTTGAAAACCCCAAAACAGAGATGACCACATGGTGTAGGGCAGGGGTCAACAAACTACAGCCAGAGGACCAAATCTGGTCCTACAGTCCGTTTTTGTGAATTAAATTTTATTGGACATCCATCTGGTTATGTATGGTCTACGGCTGCATTTGATCTACAACAGCAGAGTTGAGTAATTATTGCAGGGTTGAGTAGTCGAGACAAAGCTCGCAAGCCTAATATATTCACTATCAAGACCTTTACAAGGAAAAAAAAAAAGCCAGTCCTTGTTCTAAGGCAGTGACCAAGGCAAAATCTGGAATTGAGGCACATAGAGAGTAAACACAGCCTCTGTTTGGATCTCTAGCCCCTCACACCTAGAAGCCTCCCCTGGCTTTTCACACTAAAAGTTGCCAGCTAAGTTACTGAGGACCATTTCAAATTGTTTGTGGGACCAGGCAGGATATATGTAAATAAAGTCATTGAGTATAGGAGAGTAGAAGAATTCACCTAGAAAATAAGCCAGGGACTGGGATCCCAAGTGTGGGCAGAAATATCACCATCTGCATCCACTGGTCCAGAAACTTAATTTATTTTAGTTACAAACAGGAACCAAGAACAAGTCTCAGTACAATAAATTATCTATTCCCACCCCTCCTGCTGAAGAAAGAAAACGAGGCTCAGAGAGTTGTAGATACAACTCTTCCTTTGAAAGGTCCCCTTTAACATCTGAACGGGGGAAGACAGCTTTTCTAAGGGCCTGGACAGATGACTCTAAAGACTCAAGGGAAAGCACCCCCAGCACTCTGTCCCTTCACTAAGAAAAACCTCTCTACGACTGTCTCCCATTACCCCACAAGAGGGGGCTCAGGATGCAGTAGAGGAGTTTGGGAACAGCTAATGGAGTTAGTGGTCTCTCTAGATACAGGTCTCATGGCTCCACACAATGCCTGGGGCTAGCCCTCAAAGGAGAAGCATGGTCAAAGTCTAGGGACTCCCAAAAGGAGTATGAATTAGAGTTAAAGGGACCCCAGGGTTGGGAAGAGGGGGGCGATACAGTGCATTTCATTTTAGTCCATTCAGGTGTTTAAGGAGAAGAGAGCTGACATCTTCCCCCCAAGGCCCTCTGACTGTGGGGGACAAGGCCACAAATCACAGACTCCATCTGACCCCCACCACCCCTAAAGCTGTTTCTAGATAGATACTTTGAGCTTCCAGGGGCCAAGATTGACCTTGGACAGAAATCAGAGCAAAAGGCTGAAAAGTGCCCCTCCCTTTCCCCAGCCTGTGGTGAGAGGACCCTCACTTACACACGTTGACCCACTCTGTGACCTTGCACTCATCACACAGCACATAGCAGCACCAGTGGAAGCGGCAATGACAGCGTTCAACCCGTGTCTGCCGGAGCACGTTGTGCCCACGGCCACAACACAGGCTGCCACAGCCATCCAGCAGGCGGCTGGTCTTGTTGCAGGCCCGGCCCCGCGTGCCCGGGGAGCCGACGGTGGGGTCTCGCTCACAGAAGTCAGGAGACTTCTCAAAGTAAACCAGCTCCCCTGAGAGGC